CTTGTTTCTTTCTTTTGCATCTCTCTTGTTGGTACTGATTAGTATTTTTGGGCTTGAGCAGAATAGCTAAGGACCCACGATTTGAGAGACTACCCTGTACTCATAAAGGAACCTATGCTGATGATTGCCTTGTCGAAAGGGTGACTCAGGTGAGACTGAAAGCTTTTTGCCCATGATCGTGTTCATAAACGATGAGTTTTCCGATTTCATGTTTGTTCAGCGTTATACATGTCGCAAACCAGTTTAAATTGTATCTCTCTTCTTTAAGCTTATCTTCATAAAGAAACTATCATATAGTTAGCTACAGATTTATAGTATGGTTATTATATTTGTAAGCTAGTCAACATTTTTTTTAAAAAAGATACCAAGGAAGAATCAGGTACCTAAGCTCTCACGATGGATAAAATTATTAGAAAAAAGGGGTGAATTATTGTTTCGAAATTGAAGTGTTGATAGTGAGCTAAATGCTTCTCTTTCACTGTTTTGGTATCTTTTTAACAGAAGTTTTGTTTGTGTGCAGCATAAGTGTTATATCGTTGCCACTTGTGACAGAGATTTAAAGCGTAGGATTCGTAAGGTATAATGAAAAGAGGTATAATCCGACCATAATAGTTGGCAATATAGTTAGATAAAGTAACGTGTTTATTTTATTGCAGATTCCTGGTGTACCAATCATGTACATAACCCGACATCAGTATTCAATTGAGCGGTTGCCTGAAGCAACAATGGGAGGAGGTAGGCTAAACATGTCTAACCCATATAATAAATGTTAATGGACTTAGTTTCTTATTTGTCTAACCCATATAGAATGATGGAAGGATTATTCAAGTTCTTGTTCGATCATTCGACCCAACGATTGAATTCATATGGTCCTTTGATTTATCTTATTTCTAACATGGTGGTGATAATGAATGGTCTTTCTTTCTGTGATGTCCCACATTGGTTGGGGAGGAGAACAAAACACCCTTTATCAGGGTGTGGAAACCTTCCCTTAGTAGATGCCTAATGGGGAAGCCCATAAGGGAAAGCCCAAAAGGACATTATCTAGATGAGCACGGTTCCGCTGTGTAACTCTGAAAGACGCATTTTAAAGCTTTGAGGGGAAGCCTGAAAGGGAAACTCAAAGAGAACAATATATGCTAGCGGTGGATTTGAGCCGTTATACTTTAAAGTCTTTGTATCTCTGTTTGAGTTGCTGTGACGAAGTCTTTTTATATTTTTTGTACATTAATATTTGACATCTTTATTATGGTTGATGCAGCTCCAAGGATGTGATTGTGGCAGCTTGCAAGGATGACAAAAGAAAAAGAATTTTTGAAGAGGTTTCTCCATGTAACTTACTTTTGGCCTTGGGTTAATGCTGTATTTATACGGTGTTTGAGATTATCTTTTTGACTGGCATGAGCTTAGTCCGATAGAATTAATCACATATTTGTTTGAATGAATATCAGCCATATCATATATGGTGGATTTGCTTCTCCCCCACAAGTTAAAAATATCTCAAGCTCACCACAAGGTGTGACTCCACCTAAAGGTCAAACTTAATGTCTTGGACCATGTCTAACCCCTTAGTTTGAGGCAATTAGTATTGTAGCGGTGTTCTTGGGTTGTCACTTGTGGTTCTCACCCTACCATATTCATCAAGTTTATCTACATGAATATGACTCCTAAGGTATATTCATCAAGTTTATCTACATGAATATGACTCCTAAGGTATATTCAATAGGTAGATGAGGTCGAGTACGCTGATTCGAATTTCAAATCTCCATAATAGAGGTCTGTGTGGGTTGGAAATTTCTAGACCTAACTTAATGACTTGAATAGAGATCAAAAACTCAACTCAACATTAGAGCAGGGCATGGTTGAGTTGAGTTGACACAATCGTCTTATAGTTTGTGTTGGGTAATCTCGGGTCACATGACCATCTAGTTGGTCAACTTTAATTGAGCTTCTTTGGAATCATTCACATAAATTATCAACGTTCATAGTAGTCCTCTTTAAACATAACGATTAAGATCATTGGTTGGCTTTTACTTTGAATTAAGTTCTATCTTTCTACTTCAGCTTTACGTGCAAACTTGGGTCAAGATTAATTGAATGGCTCACATGTTTCGACGAGTTTTACTTCCAATCAAATTCTATCGAGACTTGAAATTAGAATTGATTTTGGGCGGTGTAGATGAAAGCAATGGGACATGGTGATATGTGGTCACAAAGTTGAGAGAATCTTTATCACAAAAACCTTACTTATTTCAAGGGAAAAGTAGGGGCCAATGAGCTTGTGAATATAAAACATTTGAGGCCCATTGGATTTGATAAGTGGTCTATTTTATGAGTTCGTTGGTGACATTGAAACCCTCGTTTTCCTTTACGCCTTCGCTTAACCACAAATTCTGTTCTGTTTGCAATTTCATCCTTCTTTTTCTATCAATTTCCAATCCATGCCCACATTTTATCTCCCGGTTTCCACTTTCACCCCTTCAACTTTCTTTATTTTCTTTTCCTTCCTTCTTTTTTTTTTTTTTTTTAATCGTTTTAAAAAAATATTAAATCTCAAAAGATCTTATAACTAGAAGAACGTGATTAAACCAACTCTTTCGTATGATTTTTTTGTTTGTCGGGCACCGTGGAACCTTAAATTAATTAATTTTTGTTTTTACTTATCTAATAAATAAATAAGTATATTATATATTTATAAGAGAGTGGGAATTAAACTTAAAATGATTCCATTGTCAAAAATAGAAAAAATAAAAACTAACCTAACCAACTTTCAAATAAAATACCCAAAATGAATAAACAATTGGTCACAATTATATGATTATAATTTATTTTTCTAAAAATACCAAAAAAAAAGAAAAGAAAAAAGAAAAGAATAAAACTTTGAATAATGAATATGTTTGTTTTGGTTGTCGTTTTCCATTTCAATGCTTTGGAAACACCCAAACGGATGACTCTTCCTCCCATGAGGTAACGGTAATGCGGGCGGGACCCGCAATTAGTTTATGTGTGATCCAACTCTACTTTAAAAAGTTACATTAATATTCCGACCTAATTTTAAAAAATATTTTTTTTTATCATTAATGGCAAAGATGAAATATTGGTGAATTTCTTTCAATGATTTTATATAAATTTGTCTACATTTATTTTATACAATATATTTATTTCTCACAATTTTATAATTCAATAAAAATTGGCAAACTCACATGGATGGAGAGAAGTGATGAGCTTCATTTTTAAAAAAAATCATAAACTATTATTAATATTATAATTTTTAATTAAAAATACATTATTTTAATTCAAGTATGGGGAAGGAAATATTGTGAATGAAATATGGGGCAAACTGATGACGTGGGACCCAACAACCTACATGGGCTGCCACGTAATCGAGTCTGACCTGTCGCATTCAACAGCTGGCTGAATAATTGAGTTAAAGGGTCGGGATTTTAGCTTAATTACAAGCCTACCTCGCCATCTCTCCCGTGACTGAGACGTTCATAATCAAATGGAATGGGGAAGAAAATGGCTGGATGATCTGTCCTTCTCCATTTCCCCTTCTCATAATAGAATCCATCACTTTGAATCAATACCGTTTTTTTTTTTTTTTTTCCCTTTAAATTTCCATTTTCATGTAACTCGAATATTCATGATATACACTTTAGTCTCCTAAATGGTAAATAATGAATATGTAAAGCCCGAACCCTCGTTTTTCTCTACAACCGATGTTAGATTTCATAATCTAACCTTTTCGAGATTCAGTGTCCTTATCGGCACACTGTTTGTCCCGTGTTTAGTTCTGATATCATTTGTAACAGTCCAAGCTCATGCTTCGTTCTTTTCTATAACCGATGTTAGATCTCACAATTCATCCCCTTGGAGACTTAATGTTCTTACTGGCATACTGCCTGCCCAGTATCTGGTTGTAACATACCAAGTATATACTTTGTTCTCCTCTACAATCGATGTTAGATCTCACAATCTACCCTCTTGGGGAACCTAGTGTCCTTACTAGCACACTGTCTGCCAGTGTCTGGTTCTGACATCATTTGTAACAGCTCAAGCCCATGCTTCGTCCTCCTCTACAACCGATGTTAGATCTCACGATTCACCCCCTTGGAGACCCAATGTCCTTACTGGCACACTGCCTGCCCAGTGTCTGGTCTGATATCATTTGTAACAACCCAAGTCCATGCTTCATTATCCCCTGCCATCAATGTTAAATCTCACAATCTACCCAATATCCTTATTGGCACACTGCCCGATGTATGTTTTTAATATTATTTGTAACCGCTCAAACCAATTGTTATAAAATATTGTCCGCTTTAAACCGTTACGTATTCTCATAGTTTTTAAAATGTATATGTTGGGGAAAAGTTTGTACACTCGCAACGCTTTGTTCCCCTCTCCAACCAATGTCGGATCACAAAGTGATAATCAAAACTTAATTTTTGAAATTGAAGGTTAAAATTCACACTTTGAAATGGTCTAAGTATCAGAGCGAATATCTAATTCATAGTTCAAGGAGTCTCGATTTCTCCTAATCTTTTAATACAAAATTAATTTGTAAATTTGAAAAATTTATGATTTAGTTTTGTAAGTTAATTTAGTTGTGACACATAAAAGAATCCTGGAATTTGTCAAGGACAATATGGTCCCATTTTAAGATATTGTGGCCAAGCTTGTTTTTATTTTTATTGTTTTTTTTATTTTTTATTTTTTATTATTTTTATTTTTTGTCTTTAAATAAATTGTTTACGTAATTACATGACTAAAAAATGTCCCTTTTGAGTAGAAAAGTCAAATTTATAATTTTTTTTTTTTTTATAATAAAATCAATCATTAAACTAACTAAATTAAAATATTACAAATATTTTACATGATAATTGGTAGTGGTACCATTTATTAAATCGTGGTAATAACGTTAATGTTGAAGGGCAAATTGGGAAACTCAGTATAGCGAGGATCGTCATTTCCTTCTTTAGCAGGAGTCTTATTTAAGCCACTCGAAAAACTTCTGAAACACTTTCCATTTCGCAGCCGAACGAATCGCGATACGAAGCAGAGAGCTCTGTTGAAGCTTGCACTCTAATGAAGCTCGACAATGGCGCTAATTTCCGCTAGAACCAAGATTTCCAGGGTCCTCTCTACTCTCTCTCATAAGAATTTCCTTTCTAGGTCTCCGTTTTTCTCCAATGGAGTCCAGCCGGTTGATCGTCTCCACCCGCTGGGAGGGTTCGGGCGTTCATTTGCATCCTCTGCTGTTGCTTCCGTGGAGCACGACGCCCTAGGTTCCAGAGCTATGGGCTTTGAAATCTTGGGTGTTAAGGATTACGAGGACTATCGGAGGTCTCTCTATGGCGAAATCACTCACAAGGCTTTGCTTGTTGATGCTGTTGGCACTCTTGTTGTTCCTTCTCAGCCCATGGCTCAGGTCTTCCTCTCTCTCTCGAATTTCGGTTTCAATTTCTGTGTTGCAGTTTGTTAAATGTTTCCGATATGTTTTGTGGATTTTGTTACAGATATATAGGGAAATAGGTGAGAAGTATGGTGTGAACTACTCGGAAGGGGAGATTCTTAATCGATACAGAAGGGCTTACGAGAAGCCTTGGGGAGGATCTCGCCTCAGGTCCACTTTTCTCATTCGATTCTCTGGGTTTTTCTTTTGGACTGTCTTCGAATTTCAGTTTACTATGACTAATTTTGTATTTATTATCCTTAATCTTGTCTGGATGGATCTCGTAGACCTTATGTTCTGTGAAAGAAAAGTCTCTTGCATTTCTCCACACTGTCTAAAAGACCATTTAATGGTTGACTACTTCAACTCGAAAGTATAATTAAGAAGCATTTATATTGTTTGTTAGGTGAATAACTGTTCATTGAAGTGCATGTGCCATTTGGGTTTATAGTTTAGAAGAAAATTATTTGGCCTAATCGGGGTAATTTCAAGGAAATTATTGTGTATTTAATGATTTTTTTGGCACAATTAGGTCACTGGCCATTATAATTCTAGCTTTATGCTTGTGGCCACCCAGTAGATTAGTCAGTTTTGTAAAGTGGTTTTGTCAGAATTAAGTGGACTTCAACCTTTAAATTTTAATCAGAATTGATTGTCATGGCCTATGTTTTCTTGGTCAATCCAAATATTAAATTGGTCTAAATATCTTTACTAATTGTAAATCAGCCTTAAAACTACCACCTCTTTTCTTCTGTTCTTTTTTATTGGAGCAATTGCTTGCTCGTTAATGATCTAGTGAGATCTTGGTTTACTATGAGCATAACATTAAAGATTTTGTTTTGTCCTGGGGAAATGATTCTAAACATGTTTCCTTTAGTCATTTGTTGATTTTTGAGGACTGTCTTGTATGACAGATCCAGAGACAGCGAAAGTTTTTTTTAATTCTTCTTCAATTTCATTATAATTAATGGCGAGATGAAAGTAATTGCTTTGATGGAACTTTGCAGATATGTGAGTGACGGGAAACCCTTTTGGCAATATATCGTCAGTTCTTCCACGGGCTGTTCAGATTCTCAGTACTTTGAAGAACTGTACAATTACTATACGACTAATAAGGTTAGAATTTTTGGCAGCCGCTTTCTCCTCTGGCATTTCTACTGTTTGTGATGATTTTGTTCTTATTGTTATGATCTTTTGTGCTGATTTTGCAGGCTTGGCACCTTTGTGATCCTGATGCTGAGAGAGTCTTTAAAGCTCTTAGACAAGCAGGTGTAAAGATAGCTATTGTGTCAAACTTCGACACTCGGTTAAGGCCTCTTTTGCGGGCTTTGAAATGTGATCACTGGTTTGACGCTGTAGCAGTGTCAGCTGAAGTGAGTTATTCACCCCCTTTCATTGGTTCTATTGAGATTTCGTTTATACGTTTTTGCTGCTTTCTCTTCCTTCTTTTTCATGTGTATTTCATGAGCTAGGTTTAATATCCTCTGTATTCACCATTGTCATAGCTACTACTGGGACATGACTTGGTTACAAACTTCTTTATTTTCACATGTACATATGAAATTACATCAGTTGTTTTTCCTAACAGGTTGAAGCTGAGAAGCCTAATCCGACTATATTCCTAAAAGCCTGTGAATTGTTGGGAGTGAGACCTGAGGAAGCCTTACATGTTGGGGATGATCGTAGAAATGACGTATGGGGCGCAAGAGATGCCGGTTGTGATGCATGGCTTTGGGGAAGTGATGTACACTCCTTCAAAGAGGTATGATCCAAATTAATTACTGTAGAAGGAAATAACCTACCATATGATGTAGTTTGCTTTCATTGATCTGTCTTCAATATTAATGTCCAAGTTAATTGACTTACTGCCTTTCTCCATGGCTTGTATTGATATTCTAATATCATTCTCGTCGTCGTCACCGGCTTCTTGTATTTACATTCTGGCTCTTCTTTTTGTTCTTTCTTTGGTGATGCAGGTTGCAGAGAGGATAGGAGTGAAAGTGTGAAGGGGATTTTGAAGTTGTTGGGTTTTCATGGAAGGTCTCTGAATGTACAGGTTTTAGCACAGAGAGCGCAGGTGTTTGTATATACTGTGTGGCGTGTTTAGTTTGTAGTTTGTAGTTCGTAGTTTGTACCGAGCGCACTTACTCGACATTGTCGCTTAAGTGTGAACGGTCTTTATGATGTATGCATTGAACTGTTTGGACTGAAAAGGCTTCCACATCTTTCTCTTTTCTATGCTTATTCACTATATCAGTACCATTATTTGCTTGGAGTTTCAATTTTGGGATATTTCATTTTCTGGGTAAACTGAACTTGGATTCTCCCTCACAGTGAGTACCAATAAGAACAATCCAACGAGTTTGGTAGAAATTTGGACCTCTAGAGCCCAATAAGAAAAAATTGAGAGCCCAATAAGAATATTTTGAGCCCAAGCCCATATCGAAAATATGAAAGCCCATTAATAATTTTGAGATCTCAAGAAGAAAAGGCTGAGGGCCCAAGCCCAATATTCATAATTTGAAAAGCCCAATAGAACTTCGAGAGCTCAATAAGACAAAACTGAGAGCCCAAGCTCAATATTAACAATTTGAAAGCCCAATAAGAAAAATTGAGAGCCGAAGCCCAATATTAATAATTTGAAAGCCCAATAGAACTTCGAGAGCTCAATAAGACAAAACTGAGAGCCCAAGCCCAATATTAAGAATTTGAAAGCCCAATAAGAACTTCGGGAGCTCAATAAGAAAAAACTTAAGAGCCCAAGCCCAATATTAATAATTTGAAAGCCTAATAAGAAATTCGAGAGCGAATAAGAAAAAAACTGAGAGCCCAAGCCCAATATTAACAATTAGAAAGCCCAATAAGATAAAACTGAGAGCCCAAGCCCATTATTAACAATTTGAAAGCCCAATAAGAAAATTGAGAGCCCAAGCCCAATATTAACAATTCGAAAGCCCAATAAGATAAAACTGAGAGCCCAAGCCCAATATTAACAATTCGAAAGCCCGATAATACAAAACTGAGAGCCCAAGCCCAATATTAACAATTCGAAAGCCCAATAATACAAAACTGAGAGCCCAAGCCCAATATGAACAATTTGAAAGCCCAATAATACAAAACTGAGAGCCCAAGCCCAATATTAACATTTTGAAAGCCCAATAAGATAAAACTGAGAGCCCAAGCCCAATATTAACAATTCGAAAGCCCAATAAGATAAAACTGAGAGCCCAAGCCCAATATTAACAATTCGAAAGCCCAATAATACAAAACTGAGAGCCCAAGCCCAATATTAACATTTTGAAAGCCCAAATAAGATAAAACAGAGCCCAGCCCAATATTAACATTTCGAAAGCCCATTAAGATAAACTGAGAGCCCAAGCCCAATATTAACTATTCGAAAGCCCAATAATACAAAACTGAGAGCCCAAGCCCAATATTAACATTTTGAAAGCCCAAATAAGATAAAACAGAGCCCAGCCCAATATTAACATTTCGAAAGCCCATTAAGATAAACTGAGAGCCCAAGCCCAATATTAACTATTCGAAAGCCCAATAATACAAAACTGAGAGCCCAAGCCCAATATTAACATTTTGAAAGCCCAAATAAGATAAAACTGAGAGCCCAAGCCCAATATTAACAATTCGAAAGCCCAATAATACAAAACTGAGAGCCCAAGCCCAATATTAACATTTTGAAAGCCCAAATAAGATAAAACAGAGCCCAGCCCAAACTGAGAGCCCAAGCCCAATATTAACATTTTGAAAGCCCAAATAAGATAAAACAGAGCCCAGCCCAATCTGAGAGCCCAAGCCCAATATTAACATTTTGAAAGCCCAAATAAGATAAAACAGAGCCCAGCCCAATGTTAACAATTCGAAAGCCCAATAAGACAAAGCTGAGAGGCCAAGCCCAATATGAACAATTTGAAAGCCCAATAAGAACTTCGGGGGCGCAATAAGAAAAAATTGAGAGCCCAGCCCGTAAGCCCAGCTGCAGGGCACGCTTTAAAGTTTGTATGACAAAACCATATCGAGTTCAAGGGTTTCAGCGCTAAGCTTCGGCTACAACCCTCTCTTCGCGCCTACTGTTAAGCGAGTTCGAGCTCAAAGAAGAACAATGGTTCGACCGTTTGCGGCGAAAGGGAAGAAGAGAAAGAAGGCGGAAAGATACGACAGAGACGATGATGGCGAAGAATCGACCGCTTCGGCCAAGAAGGCTATGGTGGAGAACGAACCTGATGAACAACCAGAGAATGAAGCAGCAGAAGAAAACTTCCACGAGCTTGAAGGTATTCCAATCGTTCCGAAAGACCCCAAGAGTGATAGTAAGGCTGGTGTCATCTTCGTCCTCGAACGAGCTTCTCTGGAGGTCGCCAAAGTTGGGAAGGTAGGTATTCTCTTTTTTATGCTTCGTTTTTTGGTTTGCTGCTTTGGAGTTTTAGGATTTAATTCGATTATGGCGTTTAACTGAGCTTTTTTATGCGTTTTTGAAGTTTGAACTTACTATTTACTTTCCATTCTCTGTTTTTATAAACTGGATTTCAATTTTTTTTTGTTTTAGAATTACCAGCTGTTGAATTCCGACGACCACTCCAATTTTTTGCGGAGAAACAATAGAAATCCTGGGGATTACAGACCTGACATCCTGCATCAAGTAAGCAGCTGTAGCTCACTGTTGTTTTTCCAATTGGATAGGAGAGAGCGAATTGTTTACGTTGATATTTGAGTACCATAAGTGATATTAAATATGAATGATTCAGGCTCTCCTGGCGATTTTCGATAGCCGCATTGCAAAGGCTGGGAGGTTGAAAGTTGTTTATGTGAAAACTGAGAAAGGTTTATTAATTGAAATCAAACCATATGTTCGTCTTCCAAGGACGCAGAAGCGGTTTTATGGTGTTATGTGTAAGTTGATTTTGTTGTTCTAATTTGGCTGAACATCTATCGAATTGGAGTCTGTTTTGAATCCTTTTCATTGGCGTTTTGCCAAATACTTTGCAGTGCAATTGCTACAAAAGTTAAGCATCACAGCTGCGGGCAAGCGTGAGAAGCTTTTCAGGGTGATAAAAAACCCTGTAACACAGTATTTACCTTCCAATTCTCGTAAAATGGGTAAGCCTATATAATGCTGTTTCCCCATTGTGAGTTTTGGGTTTTGGTAGAAACTTTTCATACTGTTTTCTTGCATATCAGGCTTCTCGCATAGTTCAGACAAGTTGGTCAAGGTGCGAACTTATCTGGATGCTGTCGAAGATGATGTAGACCTTGTTTTTGTGGTATCTTTAAACTCCCTACCGGAAATTTCACTTTTGCATGCTTCATTGTTATGTTTATACATATGACAACTCCCCCTTACTTCCCTTTACTGCAATGTGTATTAGGTGGGTGCAATGGCTCATGGGAAAATTGAGACCGGTTACACCGATGATCTTTTAGCAAGTAAGTTCGTTTTCTTTCGTGTTTATTTCAAGTCATTGGATAGGAGGAAATGGCTACATTAGTACATTTACTTTTAACTTCAGAAGATTTTTGAAAGATGAAGTTTTAATATCATTTACTTTGAAGGACGGCTTCTAAATTGTAGCCAAACATAAGCATTGAGGTAGAAGGGCTTCTTAAGTTTTGACCATTTGAAAGCACTTCCAAAGATATCATAGAGTGGTTTAAGCATTATATTTGTAAAAAATTGACTAGTTGGCAAATTGCTCGAACTTTTACTGTTATTACTGGGCATTATTACCTTGACTCTGTTTCTTATCCGAAAAGAAAAGAGAAGAAAAGTCGATTATCTTGGCCGTGCAATCCTGAATTGTTTGACGAATTTTCGTGTTATATTTGTGCAGTTTCTGAATATCCTCTCAGTGCTAGTTGCTGTATTGCGGATATTTGCAAAGATTTGGCAGATAAATGGAATGTAGGGTGAACCGTACCTACGACTCTGCATCAGTTAAGTTTGATAATCAGTGTCTCAACTCTGTTGTTTCATATTTATTAAGTTATTATTTCAGAGAATCTGCCTGCACAGATGTCTTAGGCGTTTATTTTTTCCTGCTTAAAAAATGAGCTGTAGAACGAATTAAACCTTACCATAGCTATTTCTGTGTAGCGAATTCTTAGTCGATTATGTTACAAATGCATCTTCTTCTAAATATAATTGTAAGCAGTTGATTTCTAGTTCTTAAAAGTTCGATCAGAAGTTATTGTACTGGAATTTTATTGCATAGCGTTTGAGTTCTTTGGTGTGCGTTAGAATATCAATTGTGAAAGGCAAATATGTTCACTTTTTGATGCCCAACATGAATAAGTTTGAAGTTAAAATCGTACAGTTTATTGATGTGTTTAATCTCTCTTGGTGAATAAGTTACAAATTTAGTTTTCAAATGGCAAATAGTTCTAATTATGCCCCTAAATAGCCAGAAAGGAAGCATTTTATTGCAAGGACTATTTTCTACACATATTAGACCAACAAAACGATCCCTTTTGACAACCAGGCAGTAACAAGTAGGATGTTGCCACTATGCATTCTTGAGACAATGAAATGTCAAAAGTAATAGTTTCAAATATGAACATCGTTTTAAACAAACGACAAAATTCAAGAGTATTTTTTTGTAATTTAACCTAGAAGATAAATAGAAACAATTTTTTGTTTCTCGAGCTATTACAAAAGGAATATATACACGATGTGATGTAAACAGGCAATGAGGTTACAACCGAGTAAAAGAAATAAAGATACAGTTTTAGCTGATGTACAAAGAAACATGTACAAACAAGGTGCATTGATGGATCAATGAATGATGACTTAGACTTGAGCTAAGGGGTTAGTAAAATTTAACATTATGGATACACATGAATAAGTATTTACCTTCAGAGTCCTTGTACAGAAGCAAGCTGCTTCCTAAGATTAAGGTTCTCGATACATTCAGAAGCCAACTTTTTCTTCAAGTCTGCAGTAGCCTTCTCATACTTTCTATCCATAAGATCAGACTCATCCACTACCCCCTGATATCTAATGCGGAATGCATCCAACTTTGATTGAGTTCCTCGCAGCCTCATTCGAAGCTTAGCCTTCTCTTTGCCGTTCTGCACCGCATCCTGTTTGCAAGCATGTTAGATTTCCCTTGAACAATATAAGATAATAATGGTAGATACATATTCTGTCTTATTTTACTCTCGCAAAACTAGCGTAGAACCAAAACGGAATCAATCAGCATGAATATGTATTAGATACAGGAAATACCCTACTCCTGTCTGTGCTAATCCGTAAC